GTCTTCTCACCGCTTCCTGGAATTCCTGCTAACACAGAGCAGGTTGTACTCCCTCCTGTGCTATGAAGGGATCTGTAGCAGGGAAATACGCCCAAGAGAGGCTGAGATCTGTCACTGGTAAAAGAGGACATGGCTCTGAAAGGAGTCCACGTGATGCCTTTTCACGTCAGGCACTGAGAGTAACACGGAGCAGCGGCTGGAAACCATCTAAGCAGGAACGTTTCACCTTAATTACGCACCACCTGAAGGGATGCAAAACTGTGAAGGAAATTGCCTGGCTCTGAGCAGTGGGAAGAAGTTTCCGTATAAAACTAGACCTAAAAAGTTAGTAACCTAAGCGACTGTAACATTTACCCTACACTCATTTAAGGATGGGCATCAGTCCAGAGGCTGTAATATGCATCTGAACACAGTATTGTGGCGGACAATGAATGATTAAGCAAGGAGCAAATCTATGACAGCTGTTGCTCAAACAGCTCTTTCTCCTTTTATTGCCTGGGCCTCCCTAGCAGGGCGAATTCCTGTTACCATTAAAGCTATTTAACAGCATGACTCCTGCTGAGCCTGGTTCCAGCTTTCCAAATATGATGAAGTGTACTCTGCCTTCCAGCCAGCAATCCATCTCCTCCACACACAGCTCGGGTGAGCTGCCTCTCCTGTTCTCCGATGGCAGAACTGTCTTGTACCTCACCGCAGCAAAACCACGCAAGCCAACATCAGTCTCTGTAGAAGAATTTCACCTGCCTGACAGTATCCGGCATGCTTGATTGTCCTGCTGGATTTATCTCGAGCAGCTGACCACATCCCTGCATCTAGTCATGCCTTCGTTTCATCCTGAAATGTGGCCCAATGGGAATTTCCTCCCACCATCAGCAGGCTAGATGTCCCTTTGTCCTTCAGGCACTGTGGTCGCTCAACTCATAAACAGACAGCATCAGGGGCGTGGTATTGTAGGTCTAAGGAGACTGAATTTTGCTGGCAGAGAATATTTACTGAAACACACAACACCCCAAAAATCTGTGTTCACCTCCGGCATAGACAGTGACTATAACATGGGCAAGTTCTTTTTTGTGGGGAGCATTACAGCATTGAGGGACAGATAGATGTGGTGGAATTGTTTGCTTTTCATTATCTTTTCACTGGTTGTAACCATTCTGCAAGCGCTTTTGCTCCTTAGTCCCCTGCTTGTCCTTACAGCATGGTTTTTTATCTGCAACCGCGCTCTGATCTGAGCTACCCCAAAGCCCTTTAGTGGGGAAAGCCGGCAGCGGGACAGAGATAGAGGCGTGCCAAGGTCTGCTCCCTGCCGAGGATATGTGGATAAACTGCCTGAACTGGGGACAAATTGACAGCTACTGACTTTGCCACTGAAACCTGATGGATCCTTGCTTGCTCCTTCCTCTTTCTCCCCCCCCCCCAGAGAATTAGACACATTTCATGACACCTCCATCTCATTTTGGGCAGCTCCCATGCCCTGGGCAGCAGCCCACACAAGCAGCAGGGTTGTATGCGCACAGGTGGTTCGGCTTGCTCTCGGTTCCCAAATGGAGCTGTGGGACGGAGGCAGTACCAAGAGCATGGCGAATTGGGCAAAATGAGGTGCAGTCAGTGATGTGGCAACACCCACCAGCCAACAGACTCTTAACAGCCTGTCAATGATAACGGAGCAGGTATGGACGCGGCAGAGGCCTGAAGGAGGCCAGATGTAGATATGTGCAAGTTTGGGGAGAAAACTCTTCCCTGAGCCAGTGAGAAGGAAGTTGCTCCCCAGAAGCTCCTGAACAGCTGGCCACTACCTGTGTCATTACCATGTTAGCCCAGGGACAGTAGGTACTCTCCTTTGGACCTTCATGCGTGTCAAGGGGGAGTGACAAAGCTGATTATTCTTCCAAGTATCAGACTTGCAGAGGCACCAAAGATAACTGGCAATCTCAAATCACCCAGTTTTATCTTTTACTGCAAAGGAAAGTTGCAGTTCCTCTTTCTCCAGAGAAGAAAAATTAGGGCCATATCTAAACCTCTGTAGTACAATAGCTCTTTTGAAGTCCAGCCTGCTTGACACTAGCTGACAATCTGATCTGGTTGTTTGCATCACGTGCCCTGATCTGTTTTGTTTGGGAAGCTCATAATTGTGTACACATCAATTACTGCAGCTACACAGCTGTTTGGCATGGTTACGTCCCTGTCCTCCCTCCAGGAAGGAAATTGGCTCAGTGCCGACACAGGAAAATCACTGTCTTCAGTGGGGGGCTGGTGCTCTGCTTCATTTCGCCAGCTAGAGATGGCTGTGTGCTATAGCGGAAACTGTCACAGCAACTCATTTCTCCTACTTGAAGGAAAATTGGCAGGACACGTTTTAATCAGTGACTGCTAACCCTCTCGAAGTAAATACTGTGATATTGTCACGCTGTCTGCATGGACAGACAGTCGTACATTGACCTGTGCACATCCCAGGCTCAGGCAAGCTGCATTCAGTGCTGGGAGCAGAGGGGAGGGGGCAAAACTTGATCCTTAAGCAGTCATTTTCCTCTTTTTCTCCTTCATGCCTTGGGATGTTAAGCTGGAGAAGCTTCAGAGATTCCTCGCAGCCCACCTATGTTCATGTATACAACCATCTACACGTGCATGTAAACACTGTGCAGTTTTGACTAATCCAAGTGTTGGAGTTAGCACCCAGGAGAGCTCAGGGGACGTGTGGGGCAATCTGAGGACTCTTCTGCCCGCAGGAACCTGTTCTTGCAGGGGCCTGGCCCTAGTGACTTTGTTTTTATGCCCCTATGAATGTTCCTCAGTGAGAGGTGTCATAATTAAGATTTATTCAGGTCTACTCAGAAGCTATTAAGTGAAGCAGCTCAGAGACCTGTGCCTTGCTGTGAAACACCTCAACAGTTTGCCTTGTGCCTTAACTGCTTTTGCGCTGTCTTTTGACCTTGCACCATGTCACTGCAGGAGTTGGAGCAGTGGAAGAAGCTTCCGTAGGGAAACTTATTTGATGACACTTAAAATGCTAGCAAGTGGCATATCTCCTTGGAAAATTATTCTACTTACCACAGTCTCCATTAAAAGTCTGATTGTGCTCAGCAGGGACGAGGTCTTGGCTTTCAGAGCTGTTGCTTCTCTGGAGACTGCCAAGGACTTTCTTTGGGTTGAATTCCTTGATTTTTTGTTTATTGATTTTTGCCTCCCTGTGGAGATTTCTCTTCAGCTCAGCCTGGGTTTGCAAATGAGTCATCAACACAAGCAACAGAGGAGCAAACACGTTTTAACAGCTCAACACAGCATATCATTAGGGGGCTGGTGCTGAAAATAATTATGCAGTTGAGTAGTTTAACCAGGGCAAATCATATCTGCCAAATTAGGTACATGACAGAACATGACCTGGACTGAGCTTTTTGGTTTCTCCATGGGCAACTGTCAGATGAGGGTAAAGCTTTGAAAAATCAGAAGTAATTACTGAACTTTTCCTAGGGCAGAAAAAAAATACTGAGTTTAACTACTCTGCGGCCCAGTGACGGTTGAATTGAAAAAGAAATACAAAGATGCCTGCAGGTAGGTATTTGCTCATCCCCCATCGAGTCATGCAGGGCCCACCTAGCACCTGTAACCTGCAGGTCTCCAAACACTTCAGGAAGGAAACCAGCATCTGGATCCATGTTTTCAGCTGGGGCCTGAGTCACAGGCAGCTGCACGGACTCGGTCCAGGTCCTTAACAGAGCGAGGACCAGAACCACAATCGCAGTTCCCAGCTGTTCCTTTCTTATCTCTGGGTAACTTCATTCCTTATAAGACCTGGATCTTCCCCAACTTAGGGGAAAAGTGTAAATGTATCGACCACTTCATGGCTGGTCACTTGGCAGGACCTGAGGGTGCTCCTAACCTCATGTCTACCTGAGCTACTAGGAAAGCTTCATGTGCTCTTTCCAGAAACAGGAGCAGAGTGAGTTTTGTTGACATTTTGGAGGAAGCAAAAAAAATCAGTTTGTGGTCACCCATGTGGACATCACTGCGCAGGAAAGTGAGGCAGAAACAAATGGTTTCCACCTCCCCATCTGTGTTTGAAGGTGAAGGGCAAATACTCATTAGAAAAGGAAACAGTCAGCCAGGTGCCCTCTCCCCCAGGTCTCAGCCTTACCTCTCGGCGCCTGCGGTTCAAGTCCAGCATCTGCAGCTTGTGTAAGTGCTGCCGTCTGCCAGGGAGGTGTTTCAGGGTTTGCCCCCTCTTCTCCAGAGCCTATAAGGGATATACATAAACAAATAAATATATACGTAAATAAATACACCTGCCTTTTCTAAAACAAAAAGAATCAGCCAGCAGCTCTCAAACCCACTCCTTGGCCCTCGGGCACTCCCTGGATAAAAGCAGTGAGCATTTTCCTGGGTAGCCAACTTGCAGAAATTTATCACAAGTGTTCACAGTACTTGCAGTTTATCTTGCAGCTCTGGGGCGTTATGGAGAACCTCAGCCTTCATTAAAGCAATGTTAAAGGGTTCAAAATGCAACCTCAGTTTTCAGCAAGCTATTGAAGAGCTGAATAGACATAGCGAAAGGTTTGTTTGCAAAAGTTTCTGCATTCGTACACGCAGCATCACTAACCAAGTAAATCACTAAAAATATAAAGAAATAGCTCAGTTGGAAAGCAAGTCTAAATCCAGCCTCATCTCCTCCCAGCACAGAAGAGGTGTTTACGGCACACAGCAAATGCAGGCTTCTCCCTGCTGGAAGCTGACTGCAAGCGATGAGTGTTCAAATTGCTCGGTAGTTTTAAAAAAGAGGTCCTAAGACCTTTATTCTCAAAGACATTTCAGGTCCTGACTCACCACGTCCTCATCACCAAGGGAATTTTCATGCCTAAGCGTCTCACACTGGCGGTTCAAAAACAGACACTCCTGGAATTAGGGAGTGCTGTGGGAAAGTTTGCCCTCTTGGCCTTGCTGGAGATGGCCCAGCTGGTTTTTTGGCGTGGTCATCTGGGATTAGAGATGATCCCTGTGCCATCACCTTCCATTTGTGTAAGCTGATGAACTAAAAATGTGTCCTGTTCATCACCAGAGAAGTTCAGCTTCCAGAGTTGGCTCCTAAAAAAAGCCCTCAAGATCCTAGAATTCATCGTAAGTGAAAATCTTACCGCTTGGCTTTGTATCCTTTCACCCACATCCCATTTTTTTTTAGCTGGCTTTGGGGCCCAGCCCAGGATGACAGCACAGCTGGTGCAAACCTCCAAGCTCTGCTCTCATTTCAGGCAGCGTGACGGCACCGACTTCAGCGAGGCTGCAGGACCATGAGGGCCGGGAGCTCGCAAGCTATGGAGCCAGCCACTGCCCCCAGCCCACCCCAGAAACCTGCACGCGCGAGCTGGCTGCAGAGCAGAGCAAAAACCCACCATGAGCAGTGGGAGAATCTCACCGCGTTCGCTGCCGCCAGCTCTCAGATCAGCCCTCAAAAAGATTAAAGCAGCTGTGACGTGGGAGGCTACACACGGTCGGTGGGAATGTGCCAGTTTCCCCGGCGTTTGCCCTTCGCTGAACGCTCACCTTCATTTGTGGAGTTGCTGCCGCCTCTTGCTGACTTGGGAGCTTTTCAGCAGTGATTGTTTGTGGAAGGCCAACAGGTTCAAGCTTCTACAAGTCCAATATTTATAATGTTCAGCATTCATCATTCCATACAATCATAAAACATGAGAACACAATATTAAACTGCCCTGACATTTTTCCAGTTCCATTTCTGGTCCAGCTGCTGGGAATATGGAAGGGAGACTGGCATCTTTAATGAGCACTTGGAGAGGTGGACTTCTGATGCGCTTCGCAAGAGGACAAAACTGAGAGAATCTCCTGCATAAGAGTCAAAGCAGCGAAAGCCTAGCTGAGATTTGTGCTCTTCCTTTTGGCTCCATCCCTAGAGGTGTTCTTCTTGCCATAACAGTGCCTAAGACTCCAGCTAAGACCACAGCGAAGACAAACCCGAGGCCAGAGCTCTTCCCATTGGAGCTGACAAGACAAATGCAACACGTAACCGGAAACTGAAACATGGAGCTGTATCATAATTTAATGAAATATCTCCTATCAGGTCACACGAGGCTACCTGTGACCCAGATCACTGCTGCATCTGTCCAACTAGTCTCCCTTACAGGAGACTACCCTACTCTGCAGAGACTGCTCACGGTGTAACGGGCTTTTCCTGGTGGCTAGTGGAGGCAGGCAGAGGACTGCTTTACAGACTGCTCTGAGCATGGATTTCAATTTTAAGGAACTAAGGTATCTCCTTAAATTATGCCATACTACCAGATGATATTGGATAACTCCTTGGCTTGGTATTGCTAGTTTTCCCTTCTGGGATGGGAGCTCAGTCCGGCTTCCATAAAATTAAGTGGAGCATCATCAAGGACTTAATTGAGAAGAAGATCTGAATTACACTTTATGTGGGACATTAACCCCTTGAGACATCCACAAGAATGTCTTCTCCTTTAGCTGTATGGATCGAATTGCTGCCAAAGCCTGAGCTGTAATTTTTGAGCATCCTATAAATAGATGCAACAGTGCAGTTAAAAAAAAAAAAGTCAGCAGCGTCACATAAAGCAAGCAGGAAAGCAATACCAGAGGGGAACCCAAACTCAGCACCGTTTTGTGGATACACCAACCCCAGGAAAGCAGAAGAGGCCCAGTCCAAAGGCCCCTGGAACCAACAGGAAATTCCCCTAGGTTTCCTATGTACTTTAGCTCTGAGATGACTTTTCAGTCATATCATTGCGCCACTTCAGAGCTGGTGTCTTAAGCTGATGAGGAAGGGTCATTTTGTTTGCTGCATGTGTGGCGTGGTTGGGTGACAGGGAGCTTCTGCCCTCAGCGTCTGCGTCACGTCCGGTGAGCAGAGACGGTCCCACATCTCTGCCAGTGGAGCCGCTTCTACAAATGCTCCCTGGTTTGACTGAGTCAAAAGCTGCACGTTCCTGCTTCAGCTCCCAGTTTAGACCATTTAAACGGACCTGCCCACCGCTGCAAACAGCTCTGCCAGCAAAGATGTGGGCCTGGAAACCTTCAGCAGAGGAGCAGCAGCAAAGGCATAGGAGCATTTTCCAGTGGCTTAGCTGTTTGCAGAGTGAATGTCTGCCTACACCCTCCTCTCCAGGCTGAACTCTTACACCACAGAGTCAGCACAGCCCCTGCACTATTTCTATTTCAGCTTCTTGTTAATGCCTTTTGGTTGGGTTTTGCACCTAATATGAGCTAAGGTCTTTTATTTTTATTAATTATAAGTCCATCCTGGGATCAAGTCCTAGGATTGATGCAGGAGGTGTTAGCCAAGTCATCGCAACACCCACTCACAAATGCCAAATACTGCAGGCTTCCTCCCCAGAGCATCTGCAATGTGCAACTGCCAGCAGCAAAAAACTAGTCTGGTGGCTCCACCGTGAGATCTCCGTGCCTGCTGGTGCCCGTGCGTGGTGCACTCCTGTGCTGCTGTGTACCAAACCAGCATTGAATTTCCTGCTAAACCTCACAGAAACTCTGACGAAGATGAGGATGCACAGCCCTTTGCCGGAAATAGCTGTAAGAGGCAGTGAGGCTCCTTCGGGGAAGTCAGCAGCTGAAGCCATGAGAGCTTCCAGTTGAGGAAAAGCCCATCTGCTGCCCAGGAGAAAAGTTCCTGAGGCATGAGCAGAGAGCCCAACAGAGGGATTTTTAATGTGCTTTGGAGAGGGGAAGAGCGGACATTTCTATGAGAACCTGGAAGGAAGGGGTGCTGAACAAAATTTAGAGATACAGCTCAGGGGAAAGCAAGCTAAGTCCTGACTGCAAACACATCCAGGTCCGTAGGTAGATACAGGCATTGCTTGGGTTCCTCTTCCGTTCTGAGGAACAGGGGTTGGTACCTTCATCGTAAGTATTGTGCTAAAGAGGAGCTAAATTTGCCAATTTCTCCTCCAAATTCATAAGATCTCAACTTCTAATGCTTCTTAATTCTCTTGTGGGTGGGAAGCAGCACTGATGCTGCATTGGCCCTCGGGGCACCAAGCACGCTCGCAGCTGCTGTGTGTTGGGGGTCTTCAAACGCACCACGAGAAACGGTCCCTGCCCCGAGGACTTCACCGTCCAACTCGAGTCCAACCCGAATTATGAACAGCTCCAAAGCAGAGACACGCACCACGGGACCCGTGTTCTGGTTAGAAAGTGCAGAGCATGGACTCTCCTGCCTGGGACTGCCCCGAGGGCCACGCTCACCATCTTCCCTAGGTTGCAAGTAGCCAGGAAGACAACGCCGATTTCCCAAATCTCATGCCAGTGCCTTCCTCGCAGGACTACCCCACTCACCCAACCCGGTTAGCATCTCCATCATCCTCTTCCTTCCAGTCTCGGCCATTAAGAAGCTTGTTTACACAGAGGCAGCTATTTTCTTTTGTCTTTTATTCCCCCCCCCCCAAAAAAAACCTAAATTATAAATTCTGCTCGTTTAAGAGAGGACACTAGATGGCAGCATGTGCCACTACAAATTACAGTCCAGGCTGTACATCACTCCTAGACGCCGGTGAGGGCAGAGGCAAATCCACCTCCTCGTCTATCTCGCCGCAGCTGCGAGGGAGGAGAAGTTTCAGGCTTTCGGGCTAAAGTCCCCTTGCATCGCAGGCTGGAAAATCAGCTTCTTTTCTTTCCTCCCTGTGAATCTCACAGGACTTTTCTCTGGAAATGCTCCATGACTGCAACCCTCCGACAGTCCTTGGAGAGGCCACGTCTCCCAGCTCCGCACTACCTTTGAAAATATTCCCCCCGGGAAAACGGCTTTTGCTGATGTGGTTTATGCTCTGTAAAGACGGTGGAAGAAGCTCAGGGTGCGATGAATAGCATCTTTGTCCCAGAATGAATAGTATGAGTATATTAATAATTCACAAATACAAAGGTAGTAGAAAAAAAGAAAAGTGAAAAATTATATGCTGGTAGCAGATTTTCAAATGCGGCTCTGATTGCACGTGACAGTTTATAGGTGATAGCTAGACTCGTTACAGGCGCTGCTGTCTCATCCTCTCACCTAATACAGGGGCACTTTATTCAATATTTAATGTCCTTATGCACTCTCCGAAGCTGCTAGCATTGGCCAGAACGACAGGCAGAAGCAGAGGGAGCTTGACTGGTCCTGTCCGGTGGTTTTTATCTTCTTCACTGTGTTAAAAAGACCAGATCCCACGCGCTGGATTGGCATTTTAATCACGGAAAGGAACGCTTGAGCAAAGCAGTCCTGGTTCAGCTGGTTTGCTGTTGTGTTATGTGTGCAAAGGGTTCGTCCCCAAATATCAGGAGAGTGGAGAAGCTGTATGCAACACCGCGGGAAGGAGCAGGGCTTGTCGGAGAAGCCAGATTCCCAAAGCAACACAGGGAGGTGAGAAATTTGTCCAGGGATTTTAATTGCAAGGAGTTATATAGTTGGCAGAGAATGGAGATAACCAGCATTAGCACGGTAGGGGTTTCAGAGACTCACACCACTGCTGAGGGACACCCCATTAGAAATCAGCTCTGTGGTCACTTTGTTTTGGAAGGAAGCATAATATCTCCAGGGTTTGACTTTTGTGGGAACAGTGAAGGAGGAACAGCTATTGTTTGGTCTGTTAAGGAATTAATTGGAAGAACGGTATGCTCCAGGCAAAACCCTGTATTCCTGGCCCCAGAGCCAGGGACCAGCATGAAGCACGTGTTCACCACTTGGAGCGAAAAGCAATGCATCTGCCCTGCTCGCAAGGGGGACGCCTCGCCAAAAGGGTGATCTTGAGGCCAACCCTTCGGCACCAGACCTGAGCAGAGCCAGGTCTCCGCGCAGGGGCAGCTGAGCAGGCAACACATTCCTTGAGCGACCTGGAGCAGCCTTGAGGCTGCTCTAAACTGCACCCAGCTGCCTACTGGCAGGTTACAGGAGAAGGGCATGGCCAACAACCGCAAATACACCAGTTTCATGGGTTGAACAGCCAAAGAGCATTTACCTCTATTTATCTCTGCCTAACACCAGCTGGGGATTTGCTGGGGCACCTAATTAAGCTGCTGGTGGTGCCCTGGGGCTCATGCGACCCCACACTCCTCAGTGCAGGATGCGTGGGGTCGTTTCAGGCAGCAGGTGTGATACTGGTCCTTAATTGCTAATTGGAAGCCCTGCCCAAACGAGAGCATGGGGTGTTATTTTTAGCAGCTGAGTGCTTCCCTGAGCTAAATACCCTGCTGAGGGCATTTGGAGGGAGAGCTGAGCAAGGTCCCCTCTGCTCCTGGTTGATTTGCTCTTTTGAGCCCTGATTGCTCTTGGGTTTCAGAGCCCCTGGGACAGAGCAGAAAGTGGAAGAAGCTGAAAGCATGGGGTAGCGGCTCTCAGAGAGAAAGATCTGCTGGAGAGCAAAGTGGAGGTGCTGCAGAGGTGGCTTTGCTGCAACTGAGAGCGGTGAAGCCCCTCTGGGGCCAAGTCCTGCCCAGCTCTGTCTGTTGCCCTGCAGGTGTGGGGGCTGCTGAAAGTGTAGTGATGGTCATCTCAGGAGGATGTGGAGAGGCAAAGAAAATGCAGGTAGAGTGTAAGGGCAAAAGCTTTCTTCTCCTTTTGGTTTTTACAGGACCTGGTTTGTTATGAGAATTGTATGGTTCCAGTAATGCAGCTCCAGCTTAGTACTGCAAGCATTTGATGGGGACTTTCTGAGGCCTGAGCCTTGCATGGGGCTTTTGGGCAGAAAAATATCAGCACAGAAAACTTTATTTGTTATATATATGCTTATATACATATGTATATAAAAGGGGGAGGGTCTTGCTGTTTTGCTTTTAAAAATAAAAAAACAACAGCACTAACCCTTGTGCACCACGGTACATCAGTAGTATTTCCTTTCCTCTTCTGCATTAAGTTATATGGCAGTAAATGCAATTCTGGAGCCTTAGTTAGACTGCGGTAACTCTTGGGTAGAAAAATGTGATTGCCGGGTCAGAGACACAGAGTCGTGCCAGTTGCACCTTGGCAGGCAAGGCAGCACGGAAGTGTGCAGGAGCAGTAAAGAGAGGAGGCTGGGGAGGAGGGAGCAGCTTTTAGTATAGAGAGAGGTGTGTGCATGCATGTATGTGCAATCCTATGGAGAGGAGAAGGTGAATATGTGTGGGGGTACACAAAATGCGTAGCAATTTTTGAAACCTGAAACAACTGCTTGGTGTTTTATGACCCCCATTGCAAATCGAGTCTGTGCACTTCACCCCAGCACTAAGGGGTGAGGCGTACCGCCTGCCGTTGCTGGGTTTTGCTGCAGCAAATAGCCCGTGGCGCAGCTTGGGTTTGTGCAGTGCGGGATCCTGAGACCGAGCGTGCGGGCAGGGGGCTCCTCCCTGAGATATTTGGCCTGAAGAGCCAAAAGTACGTGGTACAGCTCAGATCCCTTTGGTGAAAGGCTCTGCCTTGACCACCTTAGCCCAGTGAGATCAGTAAGGTTTGGCCGTGAACTGCAAAGCAGCTCACTTCAGGAGGGGTGGCCTCACGGCCAGTGATGAGACATCTGCCCTGTGGATCAGACCAGGGAAGGGGCTTCCCTTGTTCCATGGGGCCTGGCTAGGCCATGATGCCCATGAAGGCAGCACGTTGTTTTGTTGGCTGTCTTTAGCTGATCTTAGAGCTGGCCTTTCGCTTAAGCTAACAGGTCGACTACAAAGGTGTTATTTCTGATTTAGCTGCTCTGCCTTGGAAGAATAGTCAACTCGAGCTTGGGCTGCTGATAAAACTCCTTTAGGAGCAATAGCCTACAAGATCAAGGCATCCTACTTGTGTTGCTGTAGGACATCTGCTTCCTTGCTGAGGTGCTTTAGCGGCGTGTGGCCAGGCTGCCATGATGGCGTGTGTCTACGGGTCAAGGGGACGGGTCAGTTGGCGCGATGCTGCGGGGAGCTTTTCAAACTCGTCTTACTTGAGGTCTCCGAGGTGGGTGCTGCTTAATGATGCTGGTGTCTCCCTTTTCCAGCACGGTGTTGAAAGAAAGGGGTCTGGGCCCTTGGGGATTAGAAAAGGAGAAGAAATGGATGGAGTTATTTTGGTGTGATCATTGACTCCTAGGTGGTATTCTGCAATATTATGTGACTGAGCTCTTGTTTGGCCTGTTCTGGTGTAGTCCCTCTTGCTGTGCTCCAATAACTTGTGATATCAATTGTTCTATTAGCAGCAGAAACAAAGCGTGGCTAGATCCGTGCCTGCAGTTTCTAACGAGCTTGTGTCCACCGCGTTCCTCTTGCTTCCCTCTTCAGCCCCTTGTACACCCTGTATGGCAGAATAACCACCCTCCACATCTCCTGCAGCTTCCCAGCTCTTCTGGCCACCTGCACCCTTCTCCTTCCCTCCTCTGGCATCCCTTTGTCCTCCCTGGTCTCTCCTGTGGCCCATAACCATCTGCTGGCCAAGAAAATTGCATGTTTGGCTGGTTCCTGGCTGCAGTCACGGGCTGAGCTCATGCTTGGCCTTTTAAAGCAGGGAACGGGCAGCACTTTGAGTCTTTTCTTGGTGCTTAGTTTCTGAGACCTTATTTATTTTTGAGGGACCCTATAGGAATGTCTTCTAATGCTTCTACTGACCCTGGCAGACGTGGGCTACAGCCAGCCAGTAGGCTCAGGAACTGGTGAGGGAAGTGCTGACATGCGAACAGCACAACTAGGAGCTGCCTTTGGAAACCAGTCCAAAACGCATGCACAGTGGGGATGTGCTACCAAAGGGCAATCGCCTTGTCCGTCATTAAAGCAGCCTTTTAACTAAGGCCTGAATGCAATGCGGACCAGCTCAGATCTCTTCTTCATTACTGCTCTCCAGGGGCATGTTGCTGCTGCTGTTCTTGCACAAACACTTGCATGTGCATGGAGAATTGTTTTATATATAAGGTTTTCTATTCTTCCCTCCCCTGTTGCATTTGCTTGCTGTTTTATACGTGCTGTTAAACAAGGTGGAGCTGCTCTCACACGGCAGCAGCCTGCCCTAAGCCAAGCAGCTCCGGTGTGCAGCATGGCAAAGGATTTGGTGGGGGGGAGGAGCAGGCATTGGGGGCAGAGGCTGGGGAGCGGAGCAGGGAGACACGGTGAAGGGCGTTACATTATAGCTGAGGTCAAACTTCCTAGTTATAAAAATCAGAGGTCCTCTCATAGGGGTGACGATGGGTGACTCCAGCAGCTTGGAGAAGCGGCGGGGTGACCCAAGCAGCACCCCGGCGTCCAGGATTGGCAGTGCTGGAGGAGGCCGCGGACGTGGCCCAGTTCACCTGAGAAAGGATTTGCTTTGCTCTGCTGAGCACCCGTGCAATGATTAACCACCGAGCGGGGGACGCCCGAGAGGGGAAATTCCAGCGCGGGTGACGTCTCGGGAGAAAAACTTTAGTTGTCGCCACGCTGCCTCCTTGCAGAGGCGAGGAGACGGCGCTTTGCAAGGAGGCAGCGTGGCGACAACGTGAGGCTCAAGCTGGCGGCGTTTCGGCAATTCCCTTTTTTCAGCCTTGCGCCCTAATAGGTGATTCTCTCTGCCGGTGAATGGGGAATTTAACGCCAGCCCCAATGAATCCTCCTAAACTAAGACGGACCTCTTCTCCGGGTGGCTTCGGTTATTTAGGCAGCAGCTCAAGCTAATGCAGCGCTCGAGTGCCCTTGAGCGTACTTGTTTCTGAAAATGAAGTATGTAATAGAAAATGACATTTATTGAGTTCTTTTAAAGATTTTTTTATAAAAATATGTTTTTATAAGCGTTTGATAAATGCCTAGTGATTATCACTGTCCAGAATGGGAATATGTAATTGCTCTCGCTGTTACGCAGCGCTCCAAGCACCGGGCCGTGTACCCGGCACTGATCTGTATTCACCCCAGGCCTCCGCTCCGGGACGTGACTGCTGTCACGCTGGAGGCGTTTGCTTTCCTGGGCTCCCGGTGTCTTTCCATAGACAGTACTGAAGAGGAAATATCTGGCAATGCTAACAAATGATTGGGGTTTTTTTTTCAAAATTCCCTTTTAGAAGGGGACAAGAGGGGAGGAGGAGAGCTAAACCTGCAAATCCGATCCATCTGCATTATCCTTTCTCAAGCGAGCAGCCGCGTTAGGCGCAGAGATTTCGCTCTCGATTTATTGTACGTGGCCGGGGGTGGCCAGTCTTCATCTCGCTCGTTATAGTCATGCACCAGCTTTTTTGCTAGCTGTCTCATACCTCCTTTCTCGTCTCTGGGTACAGAGTGAATTTAAAAACCGCTGCCGAAGGCTACGGCCGGTGCTGCGTGGGGAAGGCTCTCGGGGGGGGGGGAAACGCGGGCAGTTGTTGCCTTTGCGTTCCTCGGCCTCCCGGCTTACAACATTAGCCCTGCGCGAGACACAGGTATTATTTATGGCAGTGCTGAATTTTACCTGCTGAGCGTCTTCCCAGGATCTAATTATAATTAAGGTAATGATGTAGAGGTGCCCAACGGTGACGGGGGCGTGCATAATCAGGAGTTAAGGGGCCGCCGTGCGAGCGCTCGTCTGGACGCAGCCTGTGGCCGCTGCGCGCTGATGTAGCGCTGCTGGAGGGGGCTGTTCGCGGGGGGCAGTGCGTGACCTGGGCTCTGCTGGCC